ATCCCTTGGTTGGAACTTATTACAAAGAGATCCTGAACAAGACTGCAAAGCAGGAAACAAAGTAGGCCCTGCTGACAAGTTTCATCTACTCACCGGTTCAGATGTTCCTCAAACTTGGTCAGGGCCTAGAAACCATAGTGCCTTGTGATATCAAGTAGGACACTCCATACACACAATGTATAAGACTCTGGTTCTTGCCTGGCTGGTGTGGCTCAGCGGTTGAGTACTGACCTATGATCCTGGAGATCGAGGTTCGATTCCCAGTCAGGGCACATACCCGGGTTTTGGGCTCTGTCCCCAGTGGGGGGTGTGTAGGAGGCAGCTGATCAATGACTCTCTCATCACTGATGTTTCTTTCTCTCTCCCTCCCCCCTTTCTCTGGAGAAAAAAAAAAGACTCTGGTTCTCACTATGTCCCTAATTAACTATGTAACCCTGGGCAAATCAATTAATATAGGTTTTGTTTTCTCAGTGTAAAATTTGAGTGTTAAATACAGTGATTTTCAGGTCTCTTTTGGTTCTACACTTGTGTAATTCTAGTGCTGGCTCCCTTTTGATTTTCTGGGCCATCTAAGGTGTCTCGATCACTGGAGAAAGAAAAATCCTCTCTAAGATTTCTTTAATCCTAAAAACTCAATCTACATCAACAATATTATGTAATATTATCCCTCAAAATAGAAAGAAAACAGAGGTTACTATACCTATGTCATTAACAGGAGAAACTAAAGTCCTGACAAATTAGAATGCTTCATTTAATAAAAAAAATATATATATACATATTTTAAAAATGTTTTTATTGATTTTTTTTTTAGAGAGAGGAAGGGAGAGGGCAAGAGACAGAAACATCGATTGGTTGCCTCCTGTATGCACCCTAACCGTGGATTGAACTCACAACCTGGGCATGTGCCCTGATTGGGAATTGAACTGGTGACCAGTGCATGGGATGATGCTGAACCAACTGAATCACACCGGCCAGGGCTAATAAAAATATAATTTAATACAGGTGTCCCAACTGCAGCCTTTTCAAAACTTGATGACTTTTCATACTTCTTTAACTATTTAAATTTTAAGTATCTTATTTCAAATTTGGGCACTTTTCTATGTTACTATCACACAGATTGTTTCTCCTCAGCAGTTTAGGAGAAATGTGAATCTTTGCCACACATTAAAAGTCCTCTCAGACATAAAACTGTATGTAAGTTAACTTATTTTCTAAAAGCAATAAATAGTACATACTGTAAGTTTCTTCCATGTTGAAAATGAAGAAGCCGAATCCAAGTGCTGTGGGGGAAAAAGCAGTGGTTCAGGGAATTGGAAATGAAATGTACCTAAAGGTGGCCCTAAGAGGTAGAGTCAAACTGGAATTGAAGCTACCCAAGTTCAATATAAGAAACCCTTAGTGCCCTCCTCCTTCAAATATTTTTTCCCCTTTAAAGTATTCTTCACTACTTTAAAGCCTTTCAACATCACTGCTTAATTCATACTCTTGGAATAAATTCTAAGGCTCCCAAATAGTTAAGACAAACCACATATGACTACTAATTAAACTGTATTGAGTTGATGTCAGTCTACTTTAAGTTCCATTACAATGGTCAGTCACTGTTTACCATCTGTTAGGGTTTGATGATATTTAACACGAGAGAGGACAAATCAAGACCACAAGGATACTGTTATTTAAACTTCAGGATAAACATAGAAATAGGGCACAATTTTAAAGCTCTCAAGTTCATAAAAATACAGGATGGAAAGGCTGCCAGTCTTGCTTCCCCCGGGCACTTGGGAATGCTGGAAGGCTATGGCAGTATATACACGTAATGCATCCAATATGCCCACAGACATTCTAGCCTACTATTTCTATCTATGACTTTTCTTAAACAAGATCAGGAAGTGCCATACTTTCCACTGATGCTTCACCTCCCCTCTACCCCTCCAATCTCCTATGCTAAAATGAGTAGGCTTGGTTATTTAATCTATCCAATTAATAGTCATTCCCTCTATGAACTGAGGTAAAACTTCTGAATGTTAGGACTTAAGAACTGCCCATTTTATGGATAACAGAATCATAAAAGAACAGATTTATAAGAGAACTGTGGAAGATTAAAAGACAAGAACTGGTTTTGTAGTTTGAATTCTCTTCTACAGAAGATCCCCCTACTGAGCACTGTGATTAAATAAACATCGCTATTGGGAAAAAAACCCTAAATTTATATAAAACCATCCCATAAGAAACTTCTGAAAATTGGCTAGATTTACAGTTATTGTCTCTAGAGCAAGCTCTCCTTTGGCATCTCATACAATTCCACACCCCTTCCCCCCCATTCTATGACATAAGCAGCCTTGGAATCCATGATAAGAAATACAAGTGATCAGCTGGAACCCTAGTTTAGTAATTTGCTGCAGAGCCCATTTGTTAGTTACAATCATTAGTGAAACTGTCCTAAAAATGTCTGGATTAAGAAATTCTCAGCTTCCTTTCAACATGTTTTTACTTGTACATAGTCACTCTGTACTTTTTAAATAAAAATAAGCGGAAGGAAGGACCAAATACTATGTTCCTTGATTTTAAAGCATTTAAAGGACTGATCAGCACTAGATTCAGCAACTTGTAGGATGCCACCTTATCTTTTGGGGGCAAAAAGACTAATTACAATAGATAAAGTGCACTAGAATCCATGGCCTCAGCGTCAGCCTTGTCCATTTAAGTATCAAACTGTTAACAGGTGATCTTTATCTCTTCCCGAATACTAGACGCAGTGAAACGGACAAATTACACAAAGCCGCCTAGTTTGGGGGCTGAATGTAGTCTGAAGCAACTGGTTAAACTCAACAGGGCTGGGGGCTCAGTAAAAGAGTTTTTCTTTTTCTCAACAGGACAGTCAGAGTAGCTTTAAGCAATGGGACTAAACAGGAGAAGGGGGAGAAGGTGGTTAGCTTGTTTGTAGACCGAGGAGCTGGGGAGGCCCTCGAGGGGCCGGAACTGCCCGCAGCCAAAACAGCTGCGTGGAGAACCCACCAGGCTGGTGGTTTCATCAGGCCCGAGGCTATGGGCTCGAAAGGGAAGATAGTAGTTGGTGAACGCACCCCAGCACCCTAAGGTGAGGTGTTTGGGCCCCAAGCCAAGGCCCGGACGTCTTTCCTACCTGAGTCAAGACACGCTCTCCACACAGTCGCCTCCAGCCCTCATCAGCGCCCTAGCAACGCTCACTTCCGGCCCCTGACGTTAGGGGGTGGGGAGCGGCCTCCACTTCCTGTGACGGAGTCTCCACTCTGGCTTGGGCTGGGGGTGGGCCGTGGGCCTCCTGGACGCTCCCTCCTCCAGCCCTTACCGCTCTTCAGGCTGCCCCCTCCCTTCAGGCCCATCCTCTTTCAGCCCAGCCCCCTCTGGCTGGGGGAATGGCGGTGGCCTTGCGTGGGTTGAACTCGCAGGGCCTTCCCTGGGCTTTGTGGCCGCCATCTTAGAAAAGAGAACAAGGGGCTAGAAATGGGCGCTCGAGGAGGAAATGAAGGGGGCGGGTTAGAAGTGGGATGCTGGTTGGAAAGAAGCCTTGTCTGTGGAAATTGTCTAGGTACAAGGGTAATTGAGATTTTGAGGGGAGAAAAGAGGAAAATTGTAAAGGAGATAAGCAGGCAGACCAGCCAAAAAACCCCAATAGCCAAGGACAGGAATCTAGTTGGTTTTGTTTTGGTCATGTAGAATCTCAAAATTCAAGTCAATAATAGTACCAGAGAATGCTAGGTAGGATGGATGTCCTGGTCGGATTAAAGGGAGTTTAGAGCTGAGGAGAGAGTGCAAGGAAAAGAGCTGGAGAGGTAAAGAGGGTCACAAAGTTATAACTTGATAGTGGAAACCCAAATATTTATATTGTGACCCTTCTTTCTGGAAGCTGATTAAAAAAAAAAAGTGTAAGTGGTTGTTCTTGTTCTAAGGTGTTTAGGCAAACAGGCCCCAAAGTGGGTGAAAGGTTAAGTGGAAGTACAACAGATGCCAAAGAAATGATCAAGACTATAAATTCATATTAGGAAGAAATCAGTGGGGCCTAAAGTGACCAGGGAAGGTTTTATGGAGAAAAGGAACTTGCGGCCTTTGAAGATTAGAATAAAATAGGAAGGTGTTGACACTACAGGTAGATTTGGTGATGCTATTTTTCAAAACCAAGAAGTAGAAATGTGATAGGACTAAGATTTTTGTACTGTGGGAGGTGTAGGTGGCAGTCTGGGAAATCAGCCTGGATGCTGAAATACTGGATTTTGGGAGCATTTATATGATTTATAGAGCTTAAATGTGACTTAGGAGAATATCCTGACAGCAAGGAACTGAATGTGGCTTTAGTGAAAAGGATCATGGGAGGAGATGTTTTATTTATTTTATTATTATTATTTTTTTCCTCATCAGAGGATATTTTTTCTATTGCTTTTCAGAGAGAATGGAAGGGAAAGAGCAGGAGATCGGCCAGTGATACATTGGTGTGAGAGAGACACATCAATTGGTTGCCTCCATCATGTCCTGGGACTGGGGTGGAGGACGGAGCCTGCAACCCAGGTATGTGCCTTGGCTGGAATAGAACTGGGAGGGACCCTTCAGTACGAGGGCCAGTGTTCTAACCACTGAGCTAAACCAGCCAGGGTGGGAGATGTTTTATTTTATATGTATAATTTGTAAACATATTACCAGGTTTTTTTTTTGTTTGTTTGTTTTTTTAAAATTAGCCCTTAGGCTGAAGAAGGTGTTCTCCACAGCCTTTGATTTGTATTAAGATACTAAAAAGAAATGTGTTAATGGAAGTTGGGCCCAAGCCATTCTTGTCAGACTGATGGTTCTTAATCTTCTCTGTGCATTAGAATCTGGGGAGCTTTTAAGACATAGTAAGCCAATTTCCCATCCTGGACCAATTAATCAGAAAGGGCTGGGCATAGCTATTTTTAAAACGCTGCCCAGATGATTTTAATGTGCAGTCAGGGCTGAGAACCACTGACCTAGGCACCGTTTTGAATTTACAAGAGCTATTCTTTCACCTGGGCGCCCAGGATGATTCCTGTGAAGAAGCAGCAAGCTGTTAAAGTGCCTCTTGAAAGATAATTGCTAAGAGTAAAAGCTTCATTTCAGGCTTAGTGCAGAGCATTTTAGAAAAAGCTGCTGTTTTGGCAAATCAGTTTTAGATTGTTAGAAATACCTTAAAGTAATCTTTATGAAATCCTGAACCTCTGAATTTATCACAATATTATTCATGCAGATTGGTGGGGCCAGTGTGATTTGAAGTGAAATGTGTGGGTTTTTTTTTTAGGCTTTAAATTGCAGTAATCTGGTGAAACTGTTGACACTGTTACTGTGACCCATAAGTACTTCTCATTCAGACACCTGCAGATCAAAATTTCTGAGGAAGGAAGAGCTAAAGGGCTTGAGAGGATGGGGAGTGGATACCAAGTCAGAATCTAAAGTCAGGCTCACTGCATTCAGTAATTCTTTGTTGGGGTGACAGGATCCTCAAATGATAAAGGTGTTCTATTTAGCACCAGTGAACAAGCCCACCAACTTAAAAAAATAAAAATAAACAAAAAACCCAAACTGTCTTCAGGGAAGATTTTAAAATAAAAACGCACTACACATTTATTCTTTCTATTTTTAAATGCTTTGTTCATTTCTTTCCAACCCAGAAATTTCCTGCTTTATCTGAGATCCCTGCTAAGCTTCTTTCAGACTTTTTTTTTTTTTTTTAAAGCCAGGTTGAATATATTTGAAAAGGAAAATACAATGAGAGACCAAGGCATTTACAGAGGATCATTTTAGGAGCTAGATGAGATTAATACCCTAAACCAAATCCCGTCTGTGCTGGTTGTGTCTGGTGATATACTAGCATTATATTTTGGAATGAATAATTATTAGTTAAAAGACTGGACTAATGAGTAAAATGGCAGATCTCTAGTGATTGGGGAAAAAAATCTTTGTTATCTCAGCTTTTAGAATTGAAGGAATGTTAGTAGTTCTTGAGATTCTTTAGAGACTTTCAGTCTTTCAGAAAACCCAAAACTTAAACTTTAACCCATCAGAAGACTAAAATATTAATTTTTTTTTCTTTTTTGAATATTGTCAACTAAGTCCTGGTTCTCTCATCTAATTATGGTTTCTGATTGGTAGTTAAGTGTATAATTAAAAACTGGAATTCAATAAATGCAGTTGCAGAGTATTTCAAGATGAGAGATCTATGGGGGAACAAAATAGATGTCCTTATTGATGAGGATAGATTGGGAAGCATTGCTTTAGAGAGTGAAAAGTTGGGGCTAGGTCCAATTTTTTAGGCAAAGTAGCAGGGGAGGTGCTCCCACTAGGAATGTTTCCATTATATTCCCAAGGCTTTAGAGGAGGGTGAAAATTCCGGCTTTTACAATATTTTAGGCAAAGTAGCAGGGAGAGCTTCTCTATAATATTTCTATTGTATGGGGTGTTCCCAAAAATGTGTACATACACTTTGAATAATTATAAAGGCAGTGTTTATTTTAAAATACACTTTATTTTCAAAATTGAGCTATCAGTTGTTAAAGTGTGTATACATTTTTCGGGGGACACCATGTATTCCCAATGGGAATAAATTTATGTTAAAAGAGCTGTTAATGGTAGTGTGCCAAGAATAGCCAACATCCAACTCTAGAACTACAGAATGATACAGGATAAATGAAAAAACCAGTAGTGATTTTTTTTGGTCTGTAGTTTAAACTCACTTTGTGTCCTAATATGTAAATGTTATATATCTGTGTAAGCCACATTGCCTGTAATAGTTTCCAGGGTACTTGAGAAATAAGTTCTCTATGTTTTTCCTTGACTTCTAGGTAGTTCCTTTCCCCAGGGCTCAGCAACAAGTAGCCTCTTGCACCCTTTCTGGTGCTGACATCTAAGATATAAATTGTAAGTAAAAGTTTGTAAACTATTACTATCACTTTGGCAGTGCTTAATGAACAGATGGGTAAGGAAATGGAAACTTCTGAAAAGTTGTTTGTTGAAAAGATGGTAGAATATGCTAAAGAATTTTTATCTACTAAAAATTTTGTAAAGGACTAGTCTTACATTTTCTTGTGGCCGCCTGCTCTCTTTCTCTCCCAGCACTTAAAACTGTGTCATACCAGTGGTACTCAAATTATGGTGCCCAGACCAGCAGCATCTGCATCACTTCATACTTGAGAAAAAGCAAATTCTTGGGCCTCATTACAGACCTACCAAATCCGAAACTCAGGGGTGAGATGCCTACAATTTGTGTTTTAACAAGCCCTCCAAATGATTTTGATACCCATTAAAGTTTGAGAACCATTGCTTTATATTGTAGTTGTCAACATTGTTCCCTCATGATGGACCACGGCCACTACGGTTCTTAACATAGGCCTCAAGCATTGTAGATACTTACTTGATTTGAGAGCACGGGTATATTTTGTCAGCAGCAGCAGCAGCTGTAAGACATCATCTAACTTGTAAGAGAATACATGGGAAGTTAGAGTCTAAAATATTTGAGGGTTTTTCCCGTTTTTTTTTTGGTTTGTTTTTGTTTTAAATTCTCATTGGATGATATTTTTTCCATTGATATTTCAGAGAGAGTGGAAAGGAGTGGGGGATGAGGGGGAGAGAGAGGGAGATACATCGATTGGTTGCCTCCCGTACGTGCCCCCACTGGGGGGTGGGGGATCGAACCTGCAACCCAGGTACGTGCCCTTGACTGGGAATTGAACCTGAGACCCTTTGGTGTGCAGGCCAAGCGCTAATCACTGAGCCATGCTGGCCTGGGCCCCTGTTTTATACCACAGCTGCTTGGAAAACCTTCACGAAAAGGGCTATAAAGTATGGACCAACAACAGCATAAAGAAGTGGAACTGATGGGATATGTTTTGGTACGTATCTAGGACATGATTAACGGGCCTTAGCAATTTTCCCCCTGTAGTTCACACTGTGAACGTCAGGGTAGAAGCTCTAAAACCTGATTTTAGAGAAGAAACTTTATAGTTGGCAAGTCTTTACTGTTACATGAATATAACTTAAATTGCCTTGTTAGGACTTTTTTGTGAAGATGACTGAACCTGGTGACCAAGGTTTTTGAATGGTTGATTTATTGAGTATAAATATTTAGCTCAGAGCACTGAGTCTCTTTTTATCCCACCATGTCTGTAAAGTATAGTTTCTCCACATTCAGCAACTTTGATTATTTTGTGGGTTGGGTGCATGACTAGTACACAGTCAAGATTATGCCTCTTTTAAAGCACCATATAGTTTAATAAAAAATCAGAATGAAAGGAGGGTTAATGGAGATACAAGCAACTTGTTATAGGAGTGTGGGGGAATAGTTAGGACTTGGGAAATCTATGAAGGCTGAGATATTTTTAAACTTTCCTTTTTTTTTTTTAAAGTAAGTATTTTTCCATAAGTTTGTTTGGTCTTTCTTGAAGTTTTGACCAAATATTATGTTAGGAATAAAAAAAGTAGTGTTTGTTTGAGTTTCTATTGTGCCTTCCTCCAAGGGGTTCAAAAGTTCTTTTTAAAAAAATATATATCTTTATTGATTTCAGAGAGAGGAAAGGAGAGGGAGAGAGAGAGATAGAAACATCAATGATGAGAGAGTCATTGATTGGCTGCCTCCTGCACACCCCCAGCTGGGGATCAAACCTGCAACTGGAGCATGTGCCCTGACCGGGAATTGAACCCCGATCGCCTGGATCCCAGGTCGACTCAACCGCTGAGCCATGCCCAGCCAGGCCAAAAGTTCTTAAAGTGAGATTTGAGTAGATCTGGCACTTGTATTTTGAATGACACACCTGCCTAGTAAGTGACATTTTATCTCTTGAGAGTAGGGTGGCCGACCTGGTTTGTCTGGTTGTCTCAGGATAATTATTGTTCTTCCTCTCCCGCTCTGGAGTACCCTGGTTTGGAGGAATGTTTATGTGGTCCCCTAATTGAGATAGTATGGCCTTTTAGAGGTAGATTCCATATGCCAAAAATATAAAGGAAGATAGCTTTATCTTTTTTTTTTTCTTTAACATTCTTTTGTTTCTATATAGTCTGGTGTTAATATACCAAAGTATAATTTAAAAAATTAAAAATATGTTTAAGATCTTAGGCAAGAGAGAAAACTAAATCTTGTTTATATTATGTAAACTTAAGGGAGAGAGTCAGTAGCCCTCCTTTGTACAAAGTATACTAGAATGTGCTAGATACTCAAAGTGTGTAGTTTTTCTCTCTTCTGTTTTCTGCTTTAATTGAAGTAAAAGGTTATTTGAAAAGGATCTAGAAAATACTAGGTAGGTATAAGACTGCTAAAGGCAGAAAATACTCATTTGACTACAACTTTTACTATTAATTGTAAGTCTAAATACACCTGAACTAATCAATAAACTAGCAACAACCAAGTCATCATTTTAAAATTAGCTATCTGCAATAAAAAATTGCAGCTTAAGAGGAACTAATTTTTGACCTGTTGTAAATTGGCTGTTGGTTAAGTTTAAGCACCAATATTGGAATATTTACCAGATGCAGAGCACCAGGCTAGTACTGTAGCAAATATAAAGCAGCATGTGACTCTGACTTCCCTCCTGAAGGTTTGTGATGTAATTGAGGGATGTAACTGACAGGGAAAGTTTTAATAAGGTGAGGATTAAGAACTGGAGTTTTTAAAAAAAGCTAGAATAGGTATTTGAGTAGTTGAAGGACAAAGGGGTGATACTATATAATGAACAGAGTGAGAAAGAATAAGTCATATTTAAGATGGGCATAACTGATTTCTACAGAATCAAGAAGGTAGATTTGGAGCCATGTTACAAACTCACTTGTCATAAAAATTATATCCTTTAAGCATGGAAGGTTTGTACAGAGAATTGATTGAAGAAAGTTGATCTGATGGACATATCGTAGATGACTTGGAGGTAGGAAAAGAAAAATTGGAGGATAGAACCTCATTAAGGAATAGCGTTATAGCCCTCACATTGGCTGTATTTCCCCTACTAAGGGAAATAGGCAAATAAGCCTTCTACCCTTGTGGTTGACAAATGAGGATATGAAAGGAAG